TTTGTCTAGTAGTTCCCATGGATTTTGCTTGTAAAGCAGGGAGAATGGCGCTAGGCTTGCTGCACCGTGACGTTACTGCTTGAAGATGGCAGGAGGGAGGGGTTACTATATTTGGGCAAAAATGGCCGCTCCCAGACTCAGTGATAATATTTGTATTTTTTTACTGAATAACTCTAAATTCATTAAATCACCGTATTCGTTTTAGCTATAAATTATGATCCATTGATTATTCCTTGCTGACCAGACTTCTCCTTTAAAATAAAGATAGAAATAAGTACATTAAGTGTGTTTACACTTAATTATAGAAGGTAAATAAGATGATTTGACAACTGAAGGATTTTTCTTATTTTAAATGTAAATTATATTGTTCCATTGGTGTCTCACTTACCTCCTCAGTTCAAGAAAAAATTCACTTATTTTAAGAAAAAATGACTTCTTCAGGTTTCATCTGCAGGAGTTCCTCTGATAATCCACCTTTCTATTATTTACAGCCTTCATCTCAACACATCATTCATGATGATGATGAAAAAGCAGGAAAGGTTCGCAGTGCGGTGGCGTCCCTTTGAACTCACCTGTAGCCGTGCTGAGTGTCTACACACACCCCTCCGTTGAAGCAAGGGTTTCTGGGATACGAGGCGCAGGGCTGGTGGGACTGGTCCCGTCCGGAGCAGGAGCACACGGCTCTGGACTCCAGTGTCACGGAAACCAGGCTCATCGTCCCACAGTCCACCACGGTGGGCGTGTCCCGCACAGTCAGAACATTGGTGCAGCCGCCAGTGCCGGCACACTCTGAGCCGGGACACTCGTCCACCCGCACCTGGAACACGCTGACCTGCAGGAAGGACTGGAGCTGAAAGAGAGAGAAATAAGGTTTGCAGCAGCTGCTGTCAGAATAATAAAGGTGATTTTTGCAGCAGTAGTGGCAGAGCACTCCTATAGAAGAGCTTTGCAGAATCTTTTTCGATCTGATATGTTTTTTTTTTTCCTGCAGGCAACAATCCTACTTTGTGTTGTTTCTACTTCTGTATTTCAGACTCACACAGAACGATGTATTTCCTCTGCAGACACCAGCAACTAGCAGGATGATAGTAAAGCAATCGCTCAGCGACTGCCCACACAAACAGCCAGCTGTGTGGGAGCAGAGCTCTGCAGCCTGGTAATGAACCCAGGTCTCTGCAGTGGACAGTCAGTGAGTTCCTCTACTTCTTGCTTGTTTTTCTTCTCCAGCGCCATGAAGAGAAAAAGCCATCTAGCTGAACTCTATCATTCATTTCGGCCCCAGGAGCTCAGGGGTTTGTTCAGTTTTGGCCCGGCCTGTCTGTGCATGCATCTCCACAGCGGGATGCAGCATAACAATTCCTCACAGCCTCTGAAGGAAAGCTGCTGGCCTCTGTGTTGACTTCCTGTTGTTCAGATTGTTTTTCTGGTTAATTCAATTCAGTTTATTTCTATAGCGCCAATTTACAACACATGGCATCCCAAAGCACTTTACAGTCCACCAGATCATCCAGTCAGATTGATTCAAAGTTTTCTGTCTAAAGAAAACCAGTTGATTGCCTCGACTCATTGATTCAAAGACACTAAAGGCAGATTTATCCTCAGAAACCAGGTCGACTGCGTTTCTGTCGCAGTGAACACAAATGTGTCCCTGCCCCCTCCGCAGACAGTCTGCTGCACCTCCAAAATTGTAGGTGAACGTAGACAGGAGTCCTCTGATTGGTCAATTCTACATCCGCTCTACAGTATGTGTATTTCCTTTTTGGTAGCTTATCAGCTTGATTTGATTGTATGACCGCCATTGTGGAAAACGACTCGTGAAGTTGGACCAGCTAGGAGAGCAAGGTGCGTGAGAACGCTGGGACCCTTTTTCCACCTGGATCCCCGCTCTGTTTCACCCTCATGTCCCTCCGTTGTCGCGCAAACTTGCCCCCACTTCCTCACCGCCTCAGCTGTTTTTAGACCCATAGGTAGTTCCTGATTTCCCTGATTGTTGTGGCGTGGAATAACATATCGCAGACCACACTTCAATATTGGGCATAAATCAAAAATATCTGTGACAAGCTCACTGCGACACACTGCTGCGGGAGGATAACCAGACCTTAAGCATGCTTGTAGCGACAGTGGAGAGGAAAAAACTCCCTTTTAACAGGAAGAAACCTCCAGCAGAACCAGGCTCAGTGTGAGCGGTCATCTGCTGAGGACGACTGGGGTTCAAGGAGACAGAAGCAGAGATACAAAAGGCAGACGAGCTCTGAGCCAGCTCCCGTGGGATCTTTTTCCAAAGCATGTCAGCGTTTCACAGTCTCAGACACTTTATTTCAGCTCCTGTTAAAAAACAGGCTCATCGTTTCATAAAAAAAGTTCTAAATATTAAAACCTGTGAGATTTTTCTGATCTTCTGAACATTTTCCAACAAACAAAACCTTAAATGGTACAAATATCCTCCAAGTTACACGTAATTAAATGTGTGAAAAACTAAGAAGACAAACAGATGATAGGAATGTGATGAGCTGTTGCTGACTGGGATCTGTCCAGTTAAACTGGTGTATCGACACCAGCTGCCATGGTAACAACAAGTAAAAAAATGAAATAGTTGAAACCCTTCAAATTTTTAAAATAATTATTTCTGTGCTTTTTCATTTCAGTTAAATTAATGGTTTGATTTTTTTATAATCTAGAAGTTCTGTAGATTTTTAATTTGAATGATATAACAGAAATAAATGATGTGGAAGAAAAAGCTATGGATATTATCTGTATGAAACTAAAACTCTAAAATCACCACAATCGTTCTGTGTGGACAGACAGCTCATCAGGACTTAGAAAATATTTACCTCCTCACAGATTTGCTCAGTTTTTGTGTTTTTTTTTCTCACTTAAAGGGAAAAACCTTTTTTTACATTGGGGCCTTAATTTTACTTTATTCCATCATGTTCTACTCACCCATATGAGTTTGTGTCATTGGAGCTGTTCTGAAGATATTCAGTTAGGTTATATCCAGTAACATCTTCTTATGGGCAACGAGTTGAAGGCACAAACTAAACTGTTCATAATTTATTCTTTATGGTACGCCAGCATTCAGAACATGTAGGCGAATCACTGTTTCCAAGACATCCGCAGTTCTATTTTTCATATTTATATCTTTTGCAAACAAAGCGGCGCGTGTATGACGTCATCCGCTCGCTGGACTTAATTGCATATTTTTACTCCGATACATTTTCAATGTTTGGTTTAGTCACTAAGTAAAAAAAAAAAAAAAAAAAAAACGAGCGAGAGAAACGCAAGTGTTGTGACCCCACTTACTGACTACAAAGTCGGGTCTTGCGTGGGCTTGTTCATCAACACCAATAGGATACGCCTGTTTCGCAAAGCCAGTCTAAGTTTATCCTAAACTGGTTGTTTATATTATTTTAAGTGAATTTAGCCTTCAAAGTTTACCAAAATGTTAAAAAAATGTAATTCAAACTGCACTACTTTTTACTTATACTTTTCACTACATTAGTTGAGTACATCTATTTTTACAGTAATTCTTATACTTAAGTACAAACCATTGCAGGTACTTTAAGACTTTTACTTAAATAACATTTCAGTCAGTGACTTGGACTTTTACCAAAGTCGTATTTTGGAAAAGGTACTTATACTTTTACTTGACTCTGAGATTTCAGTACTTTATACAACACTGTTCAGCGAACAGGATGAATGAACGGTAGTCGGCACTACCATTCATTCATTCATTCATTCATTCATTAGGTCTGCCTGGACAGAATCGTTCTTTCTCTTATGGCTTTCTCTACCATAAGCTCTGTCGCTTAGCAACCGTGACAGTTGACA